TCAGATACACAAATCTACCAGTTACAGAAATTACCAATAGGAGAGAAATGGCCAGCGGGGGCCTTTTGGATTTTCACCTCACACCATCCCCACACACCACACAGTTGTGAAAGCAATACAATTGGTTAAGCACTGCACTACATGTGGACATGCTAAAAGACTGCAACCCCCGCTTTAAAGTTTCTACTCCTAAATGACAACATGGTTAACTGGTACAAACTTCAAGACACGTTCAAACATACAAAACTCACTTTCATACCACAACAGAACAATCTACTCCAAAAGGAGTCCACATTCAGATTCGACAACTACTTGTACAAAGAACAAAAAAAATTAATAAATAAAAAGGAGTAGTCGTCTGCACCAATGGGAGGAACAAAATGGCCGACCAAGGCCAGATATCTTACTTGTCTCCCTGCTAACTCACACAAGTTAATGAATGGCTGCTCATGGATGAATAAAAGAAAACCCATACAAACCAAATTAACCAAAATAAGACCAAGACAGACAAAAGTTAAAACAGTCACCCAACAAACAAAACAGCAGTGCAGTCACAGCTCTGATGTACATTCGTCTCCAACCAAGTTACTGGAAACCCCTGGATGTGCAGTTATACCTGCGGAACAAAACAGATCATCTACAATATTACAATCATTAAAACACATGACAAGCTCCCATCATACATACCGAGAGAGATTTACCATGTAGCAAAATGCATGGTAGCTCATCACACAAGACCACGGCCACTAGCATGCTGATGACCAAAAGAAAAACGACAAATAAAGCCTCTCCTTATATAAACAAAACAATCCTTTTTATAACTGGGAGACTAACCTGAAAAAGGCTTAACTGCTAAAACACAACAGGAGGATGCACCAAGCCCCATCCCTTGTTCATAATGACATCCTTCCACAAAGGTCTAGTACCAAGGATGATGCATCCCGAGTAATCAAACCCTTCCCTTTTTATATTATCAAATGCCAACACTGATAGGTTCATAGGATTTAAACCATGTTAACCAATCAAAAAGGAGTAGGGACACTGATAGGTTCACAGGCTGGCATGACATCAGCCAATCATACCTGGGCTATACCTTACCCGGCTACACATAGCATGCTCAAATCAGCAAAAAAGTGAAAAATGCTCTGAAAGCTATTTGTCAATATGATCTTTTGCAGTATAGGCTTTTATGAAGTGTGAATGATTTTACTTGATTTTGGAGTAGCTTGATGCAGTGACAGGCACACAAACTCTATTAATTCATTAAATCTAACTGAATGCAGATGATTTCCACAGTGTGTAGCTCCAGTTTGTATATTATTTTTGTAATTTTGTATATGAATTTATGGCAGTTTTTTTAACAAAATGGTCAATGTAGAATATCAGAAGAAATTCTATTTTCTGTATAAAGCCACACCAACAAACACACAGTCATTTTGAAAGCTCAACACAATTTTGTTGCTGCCTTTACGCTATTGATTCTCCCATACATTTTTATCAGGTTTTTTATCATATTTGCAAGGCAGGTATACACTGACAAACTCCTGGCAGTATCAAAACCCAGTGTCATGGTTTTCATCTTCCAGCTGCTACTTTGAGCACAGACCGAGATGAATGATTTCAGACCGGCGCATATCAGCGAGCAGAATATCTTCTGTAGCAGAAGCCCAAGTCTATTGAACTGTTCCGATGTGCAGACATCCACTGAAGCGGGCAATTACGTGAAGGGCTGTGCAGGTTAAGTCAGGCTCATTGGCTGGACGGTGGTTGACCTTTGACCTCACCCGCCTCGGGTCACAGATAAGGTGCTGTCACCGAGGTATGTGCTCTTCAGAAGCCAGTGTTAACATTGTGTCCGTAATCTGCTCTTAAAGAGGTGAAAAGGAGACTTTTCAACCCGGCGAGCCAATCTTGAAATCAGCTCTGGCACCTGTGGCTGCAGGGCATGCATACCTGTGAGCATGTTGTCACTACGGCTGACAGCGCCGCGCGGTGAAATATTTTTTCAGATTTCCTCGGCGATCAACAACATCAGCCCCCTCGCTCCCATTTTTCAGTTACCGACTTCGCATTGTCGCTGTTGAATTATTCAAGGGCGCGATGGGAGCGCCGCGCTGACAGGAACAGGAGATTAATATTTGTCATGCTCTCTGATACAGTGCAACTGACCAGAACAGCAAATGGAATCTGATCAAGGAGGGCAGAGCAGTGTATGAGAGCTTTCCCGCTGTGCACTCCCTCTTCCCATCATACTCTTCCTCACAGCTGCCTCCAGCCAATACAGATAGAGGTGAGGTGCAGCACAAATCACTGGAGTTTTCCCCCAGTATCCAATTATATCCTCTGCAGAGATAGAGCGCTGTGTCGTCGCAAGAAACCGGAGCGAACTGAACGTGTTGCAGGCGTTTTATTGTGTGCGCCTGGTTGCTTTCTCAGGGCGTAAATCACCGTCACAGAGGCTAATATCTGTGTTGACACTGCTAATTGATTGATCCCTTTGGGAGCTGCACCTAAAGCAAAAGGGTGATGGGCCGGCTGTCATCTAACCTATCCAGAAATCAACTGGCTGACAGGCAGGAGAAATCTAGCCTCTGGCCTCTTAGTTCCCATCATTCCTGTGACCTCCTAATAATTATCACCATCTACCGCATTGCGCTGACGCAGTCAAGCATGACAAAGGTACTGGGGGTAGAGGGTCGTGAGCTTTAAAGACACAAGAGCCATAAGTGGGGTCATATGTGTTACGTAAGGACACATTCAGAACCTGGTGCCCTGGTGCAAGCAAGTCAGCCGGAGACCTGCTTCCATTCGGCTAGTATAAACTTGGGATTGTTTGGAAGAATAGTTTGCCACCTGGTACAATGATTTGAAATACTATTATGATTTAAAGGGATAGTTCACCCAAAAATGAAAATTCTGTCATTACTTACTCCCCCTCACGTCGTTCCAAGCCACTAAGACCTTTGTTTATCTTAGAAACAAAGATATTTTTGATGAAATCTGAAAGCTTTCATTCTGACCCTGCTTGCATGTGATGCTGTTGTCGCAGGAGTAGTGCTGTCAAATGATTAATCGCGATTAATCGCATCCGAAATAAACGTTTTTTGTTTACATACAGTAATATATGTATTGTGTACTGTGAATATTTATGTATATATAAATACACACACACACATACAGTGTTTTGAAAATATTTACATGTTTTACTAGTGCTGTCAAATGATTAATCGCAATTTAATCGCATCCAAAATAAGTTTTTGTTTACATAATATATGTGTGTGTATTTTGTATATTTATTATGTGTATATAAATACACATACATGCATGTATATATTTAAGAAAAATATGTTACGTTTATATATTAAATATATTTATATATGATTTAAATTATATGAATATAAATATATACATGTAAATACATGTAAATATTTTCAAAATATATGATGTATATGTGTGTCTTTTTATATACATAATAAATATACACAATACACACACATATATAATGTAAACAATAACTTTTATTTTGGATGCGATTAATCGTTTGACAGCACTAGTTTTTACATGCATAAATTTATATCCATATGATTTATATTATATATAAAAATATTTAATATATATAAACAAGATATTTGTCTTAAATATATTCATGTATATATACAAACATACAACATATACACAAAATACATTCAGTGAATATGTTTTTCAAATTGCATGAATTCTTTTCTCTCCCACACACAACCACCACCAAAATTGTATGTACCCACAGGCCAATTTGCACGTTTATGAACTCTTTTCAAAATTGTTAAAATTAGATTCAAAACATAATACAAAACTGCATAAGACGGCAATTTGCAATATTTCTACAATTATAATGTATAATGTATTGTATCTAAAAAAAATTTATACTTTCAAAACAAATAGATTTAGCTGAACCTACAGTAGGTGGTAGTCTTTCGATTTCAGTACGGTCTATATAAAAATGGACATCTTAGGAATTATTTTGTACTGTAAAGTAAAAATGGACCATTGAATACTAAACAGTAGACAGCAGTCAATCTTGTTTTGTAAAGAAATGTAACAGAAGAAAACATTGTTGCTATCAGTTGTTAGTGGTTGTGATCATTGTTTTATGAGTGACTTTTGTGTGTTTGTTTAGTGACAAGCTTTGCTAGTGTTATGGAAGAATTACTTGATTCGAGATTTTTATGAAGTGTTTGGTCATTTTTGTATTTTTTTTTTGGTGAAATTTACTGCTGGGCTGTTGACGCTTAAAATTGGTAAGGAGAACTGTGTGAAGAAAATTTGAAATATTATTGAAATGTGTCCTAGTGATAAAAAAATTTAGTTGTATATAAAAAAAATTTAGTTGTATTCGCCTGTTCACATGATCTCAACATGGCCCCATGAGGTGACGCACTCTGTGTAAAATAAAACGGCTTTTATTAGATTACTGATATGTGTGCTTGCATATGACTGTATACAATTTTTAAACATTTATCAAAAATACATTTCATTTATATGTAAAATTATTTTGAACAGTTTTAAATTTGCAGTTGATCTTTTTGGATTATTTTCTGACTTGTTCGTTAGATGCAATTGATTCGATGCATTCTAAATAATCATCTCTGCAATTTCTACAGCAATATCATGAACTCTTAACGCCAATTGGGCATGTGATGTCCTCTTCACAGAATTAAACATGATGCAGTGTAACCTGTGCAGGGGTAACTGGATAACTTACAATGGCTGAATTCCAGTTCTTACTGTGGGCTCCAAACCAAAGCATGCGTGACAGATGTTCAACGTCATGTCGCTGTCAGACAAAATAACAAGAATTTTGTCAGCCACCCAGACAATTTTGCAATAGCTTTGCTGTAAGGGCATGTCATTCTCTTAGAAAACCACACTTTTAAATGTATTGGTATAACATGCTACAGATTATTACATAATGCCTATTGTAATAAAACATATTTATATTTAGTATATGGATCAATAAGAGTATGCTGTATTTAAATATGTATAATACATACATATAAATTAATATTTGTATACATGCAAATGTGGTTGTATGAAGTACATGTGTGTATGATTCAGTCAGTGTTATCTTAAATGTGACCCTGGACCACAAAACCAGTCATAAGGGTCAGTTTTTTTTTATTATTGAAATTTATACATCATCAGAAAAGCTGAATAAATAAGCTTTACACTGATGTATGGTTTGTTAGGATAGGAAAATATTTGGCCGAGATACAACTATTTGAGAATCTGGAATCTGAGGGAGCAAAAAAAAAATCAAAATATTGAGAAAATCGCCTTTAAATTAGTCCAAATGAGGTCCTTAGCAATGCATATTACTTATCAAAAATTACGTTTTTATATATTTACAGTAGGAAATTTACAAAATATCTTCATGGAACATGATCTTTACTTAATATCCTAATGATTTTTGGCATAAAAAAAAATCCATTATTTTGACCCATACAATGTATTGTTGGCTATTGCTACAAATATACCTGTGCTACTTAAGACTGCTTTTGTTTTCCAGGGTCTCATGATGTTTAAATGTTAAATGTGCCTTAAATGTTATTTAGTAAAATATTCTTATGTAGATTAGAAAATATGGAAAAATTAAGATTAAAAATTATGATTAGACATTAAGGGACTTTTACTACATTAATTTGGCAAGACTTGTCTGAATTAAGATTGTCATGATTCAGTAATTCAGTGATTCATGATTCAGTACGGTCTATACATTTGTCTCTGAATATTTTCAAAGTAGATATGATCGTTTTTTTTTTTAACTAATCATCACTTTTCAACTAGTCATTGTCTCAACAATCCTGTTTTTATGTATAGGCAGCATTATTTGTAATGCATCATCTGTGAGTTGTTGTGTTTGATGATATTTTCAATGAAGGGATGTGA